TACTACCTGCACCAAATCAGATGACTGGGTGCCCACAACATGCACACCCCGGCCTGGTGCTCTCCTCGATCTCCTGGCAGTGCCCCAATCATAGCCATTCTCCGCCATCTCTTCAAAGAGTTGATTCAGCTGTGGCGGGGTTTTGGTCAGCATGTTCCCGCCACAAACCGAATCAATCAGCTGCTTGTCCTCCGGGAAGAGAGCGTGATAGAAGGTGCCCACCTTAAATGCATCATTAAAACCATGATTGGGACACCTGATAAAAAGACTGTTATACCTCTCCCAAGCATCCCTGATGGTCTCATCCTCATCCTGAGTAAAATGTGTAATCTGCTTCTGGAGATCAGCTGTCTTGGATGGAGGATGGTAACGGGTGAGGAACTTGTCCGCCAGGTTGGCGAACGTGGTGATGGAGCCCGGAGGTCGAGTGTCTAGCCACTCCTTGGCCTGCCCCTCCAGAGTGAATGGGAAGTACCTCAGCTGGATGGCATCTGCTGGTACCCCATTGATCTTGATTCCATCGATGAGCTCGTGGAATCGCCTGAGATGTGATCGAGGGCACTCTCCCTCCTTACCACGGAACACTACTGAACCGCGCAGCATGGTGATCACGGAGGTGCTCACCTCAAAGTTGTTGGCTGGGACCTGAGGGTGTTGAATAGGTGACCTCATGTCCGCAGCCCTAGCGGCCCAGTAGGACCCCATGGTTTGCTCCTCGGGGATCACAGCATGGTTCTGCGGATCACCCATCTCTCCTTCTTCTTCTTCTTCTAACTGCAGCTGTGACAGCGCCTTCTCCGCAGCCAGTCGCGCCTTTAGAACCCGCTTGGAGTTCCTGCAGGTTCGTTCAAGCTCCTGGTCAAGTGGTAGTAGATCTCCCGACTGGCTACGGGTCATGCACTACCTGCACACAATCAGCAGAAGCAACCCGTGAAGGCACACAGGTGGAAGAGATAAAATGCAGTAAATAAAAGCTAGAGTAACAAATTATCACGTTTCCCCAATAACCTAGAGGGTCCCCGGCAACGGCGCCAAAAACTTGACACGCCAAAACACAACACCAAACTGCGACCAAGTGTAATCGCAGTCCGGGAATGTAGTAACAGGCAAGTTTAATTATCAACCCGGGGTCTAGATCTACTGCTTACTCCGTGATTCTCTATTATCTAGCAAACTAGTTCGAGAGATTGTTGTTTAACGCAAAAGCAGTAAGAAAGCAGGAAATGGTTCGGTTTTCAAAAGCAGTTAAGAGTCACTCGGGATTGAGTCCCCCTAGCCCCTTAGTTAGGTTCAATTGCAATTCCCTGGGTTGATTTACTGTTGATTAGACTGCGGAAGATCCGACAGTAGCTTGGAATCTCTTAAGCTGACCAAGCCCTCTCAGTATAACTACCCGGCAGACGACTAGTCTTCACCAGGATAGAAAGCTGAGGCTATGAACACAGAACTCCACTACTGGCGTCAAGAACACCAGTACAAAGCAGTAAATTGGCTAACTCTCGTATAGCCAATCTCCTACTATCGAATGAAGAAGCTCTAACAACCTAATCAGATCCTATCTATCTCAGGTTGAAGCAGAAATTGAGACAAGCTGATCAGACTCAAATCAATTCATGAAACATGCGTCATTCGATTAAAATCAAACAATAATATCATCCCAAGTCATTACAATCAAAACCCTAACATCAGGAACTAGGGTTCTTCATACCCAAGTGAGAGAAGGGTTCTACTCCATAGAGAGAGAAGAGAAAACAAGAATCGGATTAGTCATACTCATAACGATGAGGATAATCTGCTCCGGGACGATGATGTTCACTCCTATGACGATCTCCAGGCTCGATTTGATGAAATCCAGCTCCAAGACGGCTTCTAGGATGAGTTCTTCGCACTTTCTCTCTCTAGGGCTCTGTTTTTGCTCTGAAAACACGATTCCCCCTCTTTTGGCTCGGATTAGGCATTAAAACCGGTCTCCCCGAGTTGCACGGGCAGGTGCACGGCCGTGCACCACCCCATTCTGGCCGTGCAACATCAAACGCACCGTTTTATTTATTAAGCTCAGCCTTCTTGCACGGCCAGGCGCACGGCCGTGCAAGCCTGGATTGTGCCCGTGCAAGCTCTCGTCGTGAGGCGCACGGCCAAATGGCACTAGTGCACGGCCGTGCAGCCCCCTGGTCTGGCCGTGCACTCCTCCAAAAGCTCGCCCTCCGTCCGTTCTTCATCCAATCGACCCCAGACTCGCTCCTAAGCCTTCATTCACGTACTAGGACCTGAAATAACACAACCAAGCACAACCTAGCGTGAAATCGGCCTAAAACACGAGAATCAACACCTCAAACGGTGTTAGTATGAGGGTAAAAACATGTGTAAATGACGATCTATCACTAACAATCCTCCACCAGGTGATTCGGGCTCTCACACCACTGACACTAAGCTACTGGAGGCGTAGCTACACCTCGGCCCGGAAGGAGACTGTTAGGCTGCTTCAATGTCTGCACCAACTCAGCCACCTGCTGCTCTAACCCGGACCTAGCCTCCATAGCATGCACACCCCGGTCCCGGGAGTTCCTGCTTCTGTGGTTCTGCCTCCAGGAGTGGTCTCGGGCAGCCAACATACTGATCATCTGGTTCAGCTCGGGTGGAGTCTTAGTAAGGATATCCCCTCCTGGGCATAGAGACTCAATCACCCTCTGGCTGTCTGGAGTGAGGGCGCTGTAGAAGTTCCCTACTGTGAAGGCATCGCTGAAACCATGATGGGGACACTGCCAGAAGTATCCCATGTACCGCTCCCATGCATCACGAAGGGACTCATCTGGCTCTTGGCGGAAGTGAGTGATCTCCCGCTGTATCTCCGTGGTCTTCGATGCCGGATAATACCGGTGCACGAACTTGTCAGCCAGATCGTCCCAAGAGGTGATGGACAATGGGGGCTGGGTCTCCAACCACCTCTTAGCATTCCCCGCCAAAGAATGGGGGAAAAGGTGAAGGCGGATTGCGTCATCCGGAACACCATTCAGCTTGAACCCGTTCGTCAGCTGCAGAAAACGGGAAAGGTGTACCCGGGCTTCCTCATCCTTCAAGCCATGGAACTGGATAGAGGTGGTGATGAGTTGAATCCAGCATGGCTTGATCTCGAAGTTGTTTGCAGGAATGGGCGGATAGAGGATGACCGGCCGGATGTCAGCAATCCGTGGAGTATAGAAGTGCTCCAAGGTGGGACCCGGTGGTGGTGGATGATGATGGCCAGCTCCCTGGGGGTTTGGGTCGTTCCCCAGGATCTGGTTCTGAGGAGGCGGGTTCTGATCGCCTTCCATCTCGTGCTCGTCCTCGGAGTCGCTGGTCAATTGGCCGTCTCGGCGCTCCACCGTAGCCAGTCTAGCTCGCTGTTGTCTCCGAAGTTGTTTGCAGGTGCGCTCAATCTCAGGATTCAACGGCAGTAAACTTCCCGACTGGCTACGGGTCATGCACTATCTGCACACAATCAAGCAATGCAAACCCGTGAAGGCACACGTGGGAAGAACAAAAACTCAATGCGAAAAATGAAAATGCTAAAGTAACAGAAATCACTTTTCTTCAACAACCTAGCCGTCCCCGGCAACGGCGCCAAAAACCTGACTCACTCCTACTGTCACTCTAGAAAATGGCCAAGTGCAACCACTTCCTAAAGCGTAGTATAGCGGGTTTGGGTTTTATTGTCAACCCGGGTCCTAGATGTGATGACTACTCGGTGAATTCTTGTTATTTAACGGTGAACTTTTAGTGTAACTCAAGCAAACAAAACACAAAGCAAGTAAACGGTTTGTTGTCCAGTCAAGAGAGGTCACCCGGATATGGTTCCCCCTAGACTGCAGTTAAGTCGGATTGCAATTTACCAAGTTCAGTTTTCATGAAAGTTATACTGCGGAAGGTTCTCAATTAGCCTGAAGTCTCGACTAAAGGTCTCCAGACCCTCTCAATCTGAGTCTCTAGCGGGCGACTAACCTCCACCGGAGTAAACAGATTGAGGCCCTAATGAACCAAACCTCCACTACCGAATTGACTTCGGTACAGAATAGCGAATTGGCTCCTCGACTAAAGTCACCAATTCGCCACCTTCGATTAAGGGTACTCTATCAACCTAGGCAGATATTCTCATTCTAGGTTAAAGCATAAACAACAGGAATTTGATCAGGATTCAAGTCATTCAATCATTCAAACCTCAATCGAATATAATCAATTCACAAACTCTGTACTTGGGTTCATACAATCAGACCTAGCATACAAATCTAGGGTTCTCCATACCCAGATGAATGGGGAAACTACTCCATAGAGAAAGAAGCAAAAGCAGATTCAGACGCGGAAATCATACTGTGAAGTTGGATTTCTGCTCCTGGACGTTTAATCGCACTTCTCCAAGCTCAAACCGGGCTCCAATGGTGTTGAAGATCGATCTATGGCGCTTGGGAACTCTGGTTCGTCGCTTTCTCTCTCTAGGAATCGATTTCTCTCTCAAAAACTCGGAACCCTCCAATGTTGGCCTTCTTCTTCCTTATATCAGCTGCCTGGTCGCGATACCCGGTCGAAATACCCGGTCGGGTATTTCAAGGTTCGACCGGGTATTATCCAAACTCGCCGTTTCACTAAGGGGGAAATCCCCGGTCACTCTCCATAATACCCGACCGGGGATTTCGGCGGTTTTGCCCGGGCCCCTCTCTGATTCTCGGGCGCCCAAAAATGATGAATACCCGGTCGGGTATTTGGCCACCTGACCGGGTATTTTCCTCTTACAGCCCTCGTTGTCCCAACTTCGATCCTTTCGACCCAGAACTCATTTCTCCGCCTCGATTCCAACGCCGTGACCTGAAATATGACATAAACACACAACCTAGCATAAATCGGCTTAAAACACTGAGATTACATCAGTCACAACCGGCTTCAGAATAGGAGTGAAAACATGTATAATTATCGGTCTATCAGAGTATAACCGAGAAAGACATGAACTCTGTAGCTGCCCCCAGCAAAGCTCAACGCTTGGAAAACTGAGGAGCCTTGCGAGCTTTCTTAAGAACAGGCTTCTTCCTCTCGACAGTCCTCGAGTCCCTCGTCAGAAGCCCTTCCGACTTCAGGGGCGACTTGTGGTTGGCGCTGACCTTCAGCAGCGCACGAGCATTTCCCAACGAGATCGCCTGTGCCTGGCCGGACAGCCCGTCGCCGTGAGCTTTCACGAACACGTCGTAGCTGCCCTCGTAGCCCAATGTCACCAACGGGAATTTCACGTACTGAATCCATAGCGATTCCCAGGAGATAGTCATGCAGAACGTACAATTGAAGTAAGGAAAGTTCAAAACTCCAATTGGAGACCACAAAATTAGGGAAATAGCAAAAACCCTAGGGATTGGAAATTGGGACTGGAAATCTGCACATTGGGGAATTCCGAATTCGGGTGAAGGGAAAGGGCGATGGTTGCTGAAGGCTTACATTGGCGTCGTGGTAGTTGATTATGACTTGGCCGGTGCCTTCCTGGAGGACGACACGGGCGATGGAGCACTTCTGGCGGCCGGTGCCGATATTGGGTTGCGCGACGAACCCGCCGGGGAGTCTGGTCTTCACCAGGTCCTTGAAGGGCTCGGACGGCGAGGAGACGGCGGCGGAATGTAAGAGGGGCGGGACTTGGTGACTGGGAAAATGAGGGCGTTTGGTTTGTGGGAGAGTTGAGAGGAGAATGAGAGAGAAGAGAAGGATGAGGCGGGGGAAGAGATGGAGGAGGCCGCCATTGTTGATTTCTTTCGTCTCGATGCCGATGAGCTCGGTTGGGAAAGAGGGGAATTTCAGGTTCTGGGCAGAGGGTGGGAGACTGAAAGCGGGGAAGAAAGGAGGGGATACGGATAATGTTTTCTAATTAACAGTAATGCCCCCAACGGCCCAACCTCAATCTCCAAGGCCCAAGCCAAGATCAGAGAATAGTGGCCCGTCAAAGTAAAGTCCACTCGAATTGGCTGGGTTTGACGCTCTGCATTAATATGGGAATGGGATGCGTTGCTAGCATCCTCCTAACTAAGTTTTTTTTATAAATGGATGCAACACATCTATCTTTCATTCACAATCAAACGGGTCTCAGAAATATCTTGACAGTCATACAAAAGAATGTGGTAAAAAGTAGGCATCGAACAAGATAAACTATGAAGGCCAACGGCCAATCCGTGACCATAATTAGCAAGGAAATCTGCTCCTTTGTTGCCCTCTCGATAGACACATGGTATATGGTAACTACCCAGTTACATTGCAGCATCTCCTGAAATCTATGGATAACGACTGCATGCGGGTGATTGAGAGTGTCTCGATTACGTAGAAGGTTGCCAACGCACTATGAGTCGAGCTCCACTCTGATTCGCCTAAACCCCAAGTTCCAAGCCATCTGAAGACCTTCCACAGCGCCCCTCAACTCTACTCGGGTGATGGAGCAAACACCCAAGTTCATAACAAATGTTGTGATGCAACATTCTTGATGATCTCGAATCAGGCCACCTGCCGATGCATGACCTGATTCCTTAATAACTGACCCGTCAGTGTTGAGGGTTACCCACTCGGGAGGTGGCGGCTTCCATGAGATCTCAATCTCCGTTCTAATGGCAGACTAGGCGTATGGGCAAGCCTGTCTTTATCCATGGCATTTTGCACGACATTAATCCATGCTAGGATGCGATGTAGGAAAGCTTTAGCTGTTAACGACCTTTCCAGCAAATATGCGGGTCTTTTTTGCCGTCCAAAAAGACCAGCAGGTCATGCTGAAGGCTAAACTGGTATCTTCATGGCAGAGGTTTGATATGAGCCACTCCTGCAGGAACCCTCCATCGCTAGATCGCCTTCGAGCAGCGTTCGTTGTGCTTCATGTTGGTGGAGTTCGCCAATTCGTACATCATCCTAACACGAAACCGACCTTCCTTCTTGAGGCCCCAGGTGGGGATATCTTCGCTTGAGTCAGCACGTGTAGGCTGGATATTCGTTACCTACAACATTACTTCATTAGGTAAATAAAAATGAAGCAAGGCTAGATCCCACTCACCTGTTTCCATAGTGAATGCAGCAATCGTGGTCGTCAACTCCATGGATGGGCTATCTTCCTTCGCCAAGTCTAGAAGTAACTCCCCTGAGTCTAGCCACCTGTCTGACCAAAATATGTTGTCTTGGCCGTTCTTAATACTCATTTGAGTGCCCTCCACCATTATCGGCCAGGCCTTCATTATGCCTCTCCATATATTCGACTGCCTCTTCAATTTAATTGCCCTCATCGTGCATTGAGACACTTTGAAATACTACGACTGGAGCACCCGTACACATAGCTCGTCCGGTGACTTGAGGAAGGACAAAGTCGGCTTGGCGAGGAAATCCAGGTTGAGTTCGTGTGCTTTTCGGAGGCCAAGCCTACTTTCAAATTTAGGTTGGCAAACCCGATCCTAGTGTTACTAGATGCAGCTTCCGTTTGGTCGCAGTAGAACCCCAAATGAAGTGCCAGATACGCTGGTCAATAAGATCACAGATGGAGATTGGAAGCAAAGTAGTTTGCAAGGCATATGTCGGGAGTGAATTCAGCACTAAGGTTGACAGGGTCACCCTTCCTACAAAATCGAGAGATTTTGCTTTCTAGCCTGACATTTTATTATCCAGTCTGTCAATGATATACTTGTATGTGTCCTTCGTGATTCGGCCATGGAGAACCATAACCCCAAGATAGCGGCCTAGATCTTGGGTAGCAGGGATACCCATATGTCGAATAATCTCTCCACTAACTGATCTTGGGGTGTTACCAGAGAGTATAGAACCAATTTCTCCTTGTTGACCGACTGCCCGGAAGCAAGACAGAGTCTGTCCAGGCACTCTAGGATAACCCATCTCGGACGTCCCGTGGCCTCTGCAAAAAGCATAAGGTTGTCATAAAAAAAGAGATGGGAACGAGGAGGACCTCCTGGAGACGTCCGAATTTGCTTCCACTTCCCCCCATCCACTGTCTGCTCAATAATGTGACTCAACCTCTCCATGCAGAGCATGAATAAGTATGGGGAGAGTGGGAGAGCAAACACAGTGCATAACCGCCTCGACCAACCCCCCTGGGAAACCAGCAGTCTCTAGGGTCTTCAGAATGAAGCACCAATTAAGCCTGTCATACACTTTTGCCAAATTGATCTTAATGACAAGCTGCCCTTTCTTACCCTTCTTCTGTATCATCGAATGAATCACCTCCTGCAGAATGATGATATTATCCGTGATGTGACGGCTCGGGACAAAACTCGTTTGAGTAGGATGTACCAGTTGGCTCATCAAGGGTTTGATTCGATTAGCTAAACATTTGGTGAAGGCCTTGCACGAGACGGTGCACAATCCGATTGGCCGAAATTGAGAAATCAACTCCGGGCTTTCTTTCTTGGGGATCAGCGCAATAAGTGTCTCATTCACTCTAACAATGTTGCTTGGGTTCGTGAGGCAGCTGGCTACAAACTCCGAGAAGGATCTACCCACGGTCCTTCAATTCTTTTGGAAAAAAAACCCGGGTGGAAGTCGTCAGTCCTGGGGGGCCTTGAGGCCGCCCATCCCTTTCAATGCCCACCAAACTTATTATGAGAGAATGGGACGACAGAGAGCTTGGGATGCTGATCCATCTAATCCTAGGGTCAAATTTAGTTAAAGGGTAATTTAGTCAACATGCTCTTAAACCCTAATATAAATTCCCAATTTCCTAACCACCGCCTCTCCTCTGCCACTCTCCCACCCACCTCTTTCCACTTCTTACCTCTCAGATATAGCTGCACAACCAGTTCATCTTCCCCAATTTCTTTCGTTTTATTCTGCCTCTCTTCCCTCTCGGCCTCCCTCTCATAACTCCCTCAATAAAAGCGGAACTTTCCGGCTCCTCACGATCAGAAATCATCTCCATCGGTGAGGAATAGAACGGGAGATGATTAAAAAATTAAAAAAATACCAAAATCCCCAAATCCCCAAATCGTGCTCCCTCGCCGCCTGCTTCAAGCTTTGTTCCACTCTCACCATCGCCCCGTCGCCGCCTTCCTCCTGCCAATTCCTCTTCACTCACGACCACCATCAGAACCCAACCATCCTGAACTCCCTCTCACTCATGGATGACTCCTCCTCCATGGCTCGCTCTTCCTCTTCACCTTCCCCTCCTCAACCGGCCACAATTCAGCTCCCAGTCAACCTCAACAACTCCTCTCCAACTACCTGCTTCGTGAAGCTGAAAACAAAGACCCACCAACAAATTGAAATTGAAACCCACCAGTTGGGGGTTTTCTTCGATTGAAATCGAAACAGAGAAGCTGGCGGAGGGAGGAGCGCAAGGGGAGGAGGAGCAGCTGGGCTGGAGAAGAAGCAGGCCTTCACCGGCGCTCCAAATCCCCATCTCCGGGATGGGTTAATGGGACTGTAACCCATTCTTAGTCAGCCTCTTCTCCTTCCTCTTCATCTCCCTTGATGGAATCGGCTCTGCCCTCCACTTACAAATCCTCCCAATCGCCACTCTCTTCATCCTCTGCTCGATTTTGGGGCTGTACAGGACGGTGGCGTTGATGCCGGAGGCTTGCTAGAAGAAGTGGATTTCGACGGCGTAGATTAGGTTGTGGCGGACGATTGGGGTCGGGCAGAGGAGGATGGTGATTGATGTCGGATGATTGGGGTCACGACGCTTCTTTGTCCTTTGATGCATGGTAAAGGAAACCGTACTGGAAGTTATATCGGACCAGTGTGTGGTACGGTACTTTGTCGTATGACGGTGTTTCAACCGTTGTGTACCGGTAAAATATATTTTCTGTAATTAAATAATATATTTTTGTTAAAAAACCGTACCGGCAGATTCAGTGTACCATCTCGGAGTAATATCGGAATGTAAAATAGTACACTGTATATTCCATACAAATCAGGTGAATCATTTTAGTGTTAATTTCCCTAATAAATAACTCTAATACTTTGGTAAAAATAAATATCTATTGTCTTTTCTTTTGAAAAATCATTTATTATATTTTATTGTTTATTTAAGTTTTTCACTATTCTTTTTTCTTTTTCTTTTCACATTCCCTTATCCCTTCCCTTCCATTCACCAAGACACCAACCGCCCACCCACTACAAATTTCCCTTCTCTCTTTCTCCCTCTTCTCTGTTGCTTAGCGAGAGCAATCTAAAGCTCTGTTCTTCTCCTTTTATTTGTTGTGATCAATTTCTCCATGCAACAGCAGAATTAATCTTTTCTCGTCTCAAAGATCTCTTAACAAATAAACTTATAATCGAAAAACAACATTGTGACAACACTAGTTTGCAAGAGATGAAGAAAGCATTGTGATGGCGACCGTCGATTCGACACCGTCTTTTTATCTCTTTCTTGTTCTTGAGCAGCAGGGGAGGGAGACACAAGCAGGCGACACGACTAAGTAGGAGAGAAGAGGAGCGGCGGCAGGGATCGTTGCCAATATCCAGTCGCCAAGCGCCAGAGAAGAAGAGAAGGCGAGCGACGGAGCAGCGGTCTCGGGTTGCCTCCTTGCATTCGCCGGTCGTGGTTCGCCGCCTCGCCGGCCGCAGTCGCTAGACGGCAAGAGGAGTAGAGGAGGAGCGACGGACGGGCTGGTCGCTGGGGAAGAAAGAAACGACTAGATGAAAGGGCTCCCAAACCAATATTAGGGTTTTTTTTGGCTTTCTTGGCCTCTCGCCGCTTTGTTCTTTTTTTTTATAAATAAAATTATCTCCAAAAACGGTGACGTTTATCCTTCCAGTAAGCCTATCGCCGGTTAGACCAAAACCGGACGGTATTTACTTTTGTACCGGTTAAGCCGAGAAAATCGGCCGACACGATATTCTGTTGTCAACCAGCCTATCGTATCACTCTTGGTCAAGTTTACTGACAGCCACGTAGATGCCACTGTTTGGTCAACCGTTATCTATAACGGTTAACACAATTATCAGGGCATAAATGACACACAACTATAATAGGTTAGAACACAAATGTCATATTGGATACTTTAGGACACAAATGACACATTCTTAATAGTTCGGGTTCCCTAGTGGTATTTGCCCAATTTTAAATGTCAAATCATGTGTTTGGATATTTATTATATTTGGTATTTGAACTTGTGCCAAATTCATGGACTTTTTCTAGAAATACCACTGTTTAAAAAAGAATTCCAAAAATACCACCCAACCCCAAAAAATTCAAAAAATACCACCCTTTTTCAAAAACCGCCACCCCACCTAGCGGTTTACACGAAAACCGCTGGGCGGGGCGCGATTTTCTATGCAAACCGCTGGGCTAAGGGGTGATTATAAAAACCTATAAAAAGCGCTGGGTGGGGCGGCGGTTTTGGGCCAAACCGCCTCCCCACCCAGCGGTTTGGTCCAAAAAAATTTTTCCGATCAACTCTTAACTTCGGCCGAAACTTCAAACGAACGTAACTTTGCACTCGGGTATCCGATCGTAGCGATTTTTTTTTGAATCCGAATAACTTTTCGAGATCTTGCAAGTCGCAAATGGCCGTAGGAGGTTTGGTCCCGCCTTCGTCTCGAAAAAACGTCATTTGCTACCCCGCACGAGCCTTTTTTTGATTTCGTCAAACTTTGGGCGGCCTTAACTTTGTGCTCCAAAATCCGAACGTCATGAATTTTTTTTTTATTCCGCATAACTTTTCAAGATCTACAACTTTTAAGATAATCATATATTCGAAATGTACATGGATTTGTAAAAAGTAAATGTAAAGTTATTCCCAACGTCCCGTATATCCACAACTAATTCCTGTTTTGAAAATTTCATCCTAGTAAAAGTTGTAGATCTCGAAAAGTTATTCGAATTAAAAAAAATAATCGCTACGATCGGATACCCGAGTGCAAAGTTACGTTCGTTTGAAGTTTCGGCCGAAGTCAAGAGTTGATCGAAAAAAAGAAAAAAAAATTGGACCAAACCGCTGGGTGGGGTGGCGGTTTGGCCCAAAACCACCGCCCCACCCAGCTGTTTTTATAACCGCCCCTTAGTCCAGCGGTTTGCATAGAAAACCGCGCCCCCGCCCAGCTGTTTTCGTGTAAACCGCAGGGTGGGGTGGCGGTTTTTGACAAAGGTGGTATTTTTGGAATTTTTTGGGGTTGGGTGGTATTTTTGAAATTCTTTTTTTAAACAGTGGTACTTTTGGATTTTTTCCCAAATTCATGGGGTGATTTCCAAATACATGTATAGTGTATTACTTGTCAACATCAAATACATTTCAACAACTAGTGATTTGAAATACCTCCTAAAAAAATTGGACCTATTTGTAAAATATTAAAAGTTTAGGGACTATAGTGCGAGCCAAAACATATAAAGGTACCAAAACATATTTTCACCATCAAATTTTTTGAACCTTTTTGTAAAATTTTAAAAGTTTAGCTACTAAATTGTAAGGAAAAATAAATTTGGGTACCACACTGTAATTTACCAAAATTTGTAGTAAGTGAAAAAAAATTCAAAATAAAAATAATTGGATGTTATGAAATTTAAAATATAAACAAAATACAAATAAGTATCCAAACAATGAATTTGAATTACATGTATTTCAAATGCATGCATTTTAAAAACATGTATTTCAAATACCTTACATTTGAAATAAACCTATCCAAATGCATCTTTATAGATTTGTTTTCAAACACCTAACCTACCTAAAATACCTCATACTAATGAGGTTAAATGGACCCTTATTTAATGGGTGCTTTCTTTAAAGATATAAAACCTTACGAGAGGTTAAACTAAAAAAGTCAGCAATAGAATATTCTGTATTTCAATCATATTTCAACCATTTATACTGTTAAAACAGCACACTAATTTCTAAAATGTTGGTAATAATCAAAATAGACATAATTTAGAGTCACCACTATAGAATCCTACAAACACTTTAGCATTTTCTTATGTAATTAGCTTATCTCAACATTAATGATTGGTTTCTTCCATAATAACAACCTCTTTCCTTTCGTTACACTTGCTGCTTTACCGATAACAGAGCAACAAATTTATCTCCTCCTAATGGCTAATGTTGTGCTGATGACCCTCCCCATCTCTTCACCCGACCCTCAGCTTTTGCAGCCTGGAAAAAGGCCAACAAAGAAAGCTTGTTGATGGCCTTCAAATCAAAATTGCCCTGTAGAAAAAAAAGAGAACAAGCAAAACCAGAATCCAATTTACAGAGATGAATCTAGACATTGAAACTCACCTCGGATTCCCAATCAGTTATTGCTGTTATTACCACCAGAATTATGGTCTGCAAAACTATTCCTGCAATCATTCCTGACCATATACCCTGCACAAAGAAAAACATTACCATGCGAATGAAGAACTAAGATCATTAAATCGTGTCATCCAACGATATCAACTCGTACTAACAGGGGCGGACCCACGGGTGTTTGGGGGTGTTCCGGGACACCCCTAAATTTTGGGAAAACGATTATCCAACCCCCAGTGTTAATTTACGTATTGACAAAAAAATTATAATTGATAGTCGGGAACACCCCTAAATTAAAAAAAAAAGTGATTATCCTACTCTCATCTTTTAGTTTGAGTATGAGAATATAAGTGGTAGTTTGGGTAATTCAAACCTAGGACACTTTTATTATTAATAAACATAATTTTTCATTAGGCTACAACTCATATGTTATTCGATTTTAAACACTGTGTAATAGTACAATGTCATTCTCTATCTCTAATTATTTTCAAAATCTAACAATTAAACAAATTTCAAGCTGCGCTTAATTTGTATTGATTTATGGTTGTACGACAAGTGTTGAAAGAGTCTTTTCAGCTTTGGATTACATCAAGAACAAGTTTAGAAATCGAATGTGTGATCAGTTCGTGAATGATTGTCTAATATGATATATATAGACAATTTTTTTGAACAGTGTAGACCCCTAGTGTGTTCTACAATCATTTTTTAATATGAAACACATTGTGAATTTTTTCAAACTGTATGAGTAAGGTATTCTTATTTAAATATTATTTCTTATTTATTAATTACTTTATAATTAATTTTATTTAATTAATTTTTTAAAGAAGACACCGCTATGTAAAATTTCTGGGTCCGCCACTGCGTACTAACACCTACTTCTTTCAGCGTATTAACCAAATTGCATATCTTGTTTGAAAAGGGGAACAATTTTCTCTTTACCTCAACTCCAAAGCCAAATGTGAAACCTAGAAGAATCCCAGCAGGCAATCCAACTATGTAGTAACATCCAATATTAATGTAAGCCACCAGAGATTGCCATCCTGCTCCAATAGCAACACCTACATGACAAAAGCAAAAAACAATCTCATAACTACAAAGAAAGCAGCATGCATTGCCTTGTAAGTTAAGAAAATACAGTGCCAGAAAACTTGTAAACCAAGTAGGAAGTGTACTACTACCAAATTACCTGATAAAACAGGCTGAAGGCTGTTGAGCAGCACAGTGAATGCCAGCAACCCGGCAAGCCGTCTTGTTTCTTGAGCAACCGCAGCGCTGCTGGTGAACAGCTCAGGGAACGAGCCTCTCGTCGCGAAGACCACGATCATACAGACCACCCCTATGGCCATCGACGTAGCTGATACCACTACGACCGAGACTTTCGCTGCTCGAGCTTTACCTGCTCCGAGCTCGTTCGAGACCCTTACGCTGCAAATCGAAAACAATGCTGTTAGGTCAATTATATACAGAATTCGTTCTCACAATTGGTGAAAACTGTGTACCTAATGGCAGCATTGAATCCAATTGCAATCATGGCGTCCCATCCATTCAGGTTCATACTGCAAGCAAACTAATCAATAAAATTGAGGATAGACAATTTGGATTGTTTTCGGATTAAGCATCGTTGAGAAAGGAAGTATACCAGATTGAGATGGCATCCACAGGGATCAGAGGGTCTGGCAATCGGCCAGTGATAACCACCAAGACCATCAAGTACCAAAACTCCAAACTATGCCCACAAACAGAAGAAAATGAAAAATCAAGGTATTCACAGTAAAGCCCAAATTGAAAAGCTGACAATTTTTTTTTACCATAGCATTACTGCAGAGGCCAGAGAGAGCTTGACGAAACCCCAGAGGTCCGAAAACGCGAGCCAGGAGAAGCCATTCCAGGCTTCGTCGGACCCGGTGACGAATATGTAACCCAGTTGAGCTATGACTATGATCCACCATGAGGCATTCAACACCAGAGCGGCTCCAACCAGTCCCCAGCCGAGCTTCAGAATCAGCAGCCAGCTGAAGAAGGCGTGGAGAACCAGAACCACCGCCGAGATCCAGGCCATCACCATCACTTTGCTCTGCGCTTGCAGGAACTTTTGGATCGGGAAGTTCAATGCGTAAGCGAATAGCTGCGGCAGCATCCATATCGCGAATTCACCTGCATTTGACTTAGAATCAACAGATCAAGCTTTTACAGTTCGTATTCGTACTGAAAATCAGAATCGAAAAGAAGTCTCAGGTCAATCCGATTCATGCCCAGAAATCAAATTGTCGCAATTGTCGATACAATTCATTCGATTACTCAAATAAAAAAAAATGTAACTGACCTGCAGCAGTGGATATCTCTGAGGTTTCTCCGAAGAAAGCAAGGATTGGAGGAGACCAGACGTAAACAGGAACCAACAAACAAGCGGTGGCTAAAAGAATAACCCACGATCTCTGCATGTAGATCCCCAACATTCTGATCTGCCCTGCTCCGTATGCTTGCCCACATAGCGTCTCCAATGCACTCCCCATCCCCAACTTCTCACAATAAAAAAATTGAATACGTAATCAGAAACAAGATTCAATCCAAAAACCCACTACTCTGTTTTAACAGCAACAAAAAAACAGAGTACGTGACGTCAATTCGAATCTCGAGATCAGCATTGGAAGAAAAAACAGGGGAGAGACAGGGGAGTGGCTGACCATGACGCCAAAGGCGAGGCCGGCGACGACGGAGTTCTCGACCGAGACGGCGGCGAGCTCCAGCTCGCCAACGAAGCCGGCGAACGTCTGCGTCAGCGCGCCGAGCGAGTACTGGGAAATGGCGGTGAAGATGGCAGGGCCGGCAATCTTCCATAGCGTCCGCGACTCGTTTCTGAAGTCTCCGAGAGCGGAAGAACCGAAATTCTCCTTACCGTAGTTTCGCTCCTTCCCGCCGCGGGATTGGAGCAACGGCGCATCCATTGCGGAACCCAAAACCTCTTTTTTTGTGTGTGTGTTTATAATGCAGAATTCAGGAAGAAGAGAGAGAGAGTTCGTTTCGTATTTGAAGTCTCGGAGCTTGGAAAGAATTACAATGACCTCCAGTTCTGGTTGTCACTTTCTTTCTCTGTCAGCGGAAAGCCTTTTGACGTTTAAGGAAGAAAAATGAATGATTAGGAGGAGGATTTTTACTGTGGTTGTTTGTTTTTTTTTACCGCCTGGTTAGGTGGGATCCGATTAATGTGGCAGTGGTGCTTTCTGTTTTCTCACCTTTCTGGTTTTCTACACGTTCGTCTGGTTGCCGATTTGGGAAACCAAATTCATTTGCGCACGAAAGCTATTTGCGCACGAGAACAGAGGCATTAACTATGATGGGAGATTTCACGATTTTGTTCATATTTTCAGGCTGATCAGCTATCTCCCTCAATATAGTGGTCTTTTGCATCTGTTGGAGAAATTGTTCACGCATACTATTTTCTTGCAACTCAAGCAAACACATAAGATTAAGAAAACATGCAAAGACACATGCAAGCGTCCTAGCCGATAGAATTCACTATCTCTCCTTAAAGAATCTTATTCCCCTCAAGTACCCAAGGTTGTGGAATGATTCCTCCCAAGATAGAAAGGACGTACCTTTTCCGGCGTAGCGGTACCTCAAACCCCGGAAACCATCGAACGCAGCGAATCGGCGAGAACCACACTTGACTCTATTTTTCCTTTGAAGAAGAATGCAGAAAAACAATTTTGGACTTTGGTAGAATTTTGGTACTGGGAAAACTGATGTAAAACTCATAGTTAAAACAAGAGGGGGTATGGTGCTATTTATAGAAACTGAAGGGATGCATTGAAGGGAGGCAACTCTTCATATGAGTGGTTACACCCCAACCATTGCATTGGTTCGTTTAAAATATTTCAACCATTGCATTGGTTCGGCCTCATGGAAGTTGGACCGGTTTGGTTATTCCAACCGCCACATCGGTTCGGTTCGATTTGGTTCAACTCGGTTTGGTTCGTTTGGTTACACAAACCAATTTAACCAACTAACCACATATTACATCAAATCGATCGAATTCGAGGCTGTGCCTTCTCACATCTTACCAACATGGTACTTCAAGAGACTCTCTTGAAACTTTCCCCTTTTTATTTCCATTCACACCACTAAAAATCCCAACAATCCCCCACATGAATGGAGAATGTTGTACTTTAAAAACTATGCAAAAAATCGTGTGATTCTCGACTAAGAATTAGTTGCATCGGAATAGGTAGGTTTCCCTTTGAACCTTCCTTAGTGAACATATATCGAGTATACTCACCAATCGGTAGATGTGAGATCTTTGAACCGTCGGTTTTGCTTGTATACTAAGACAACATATGTCACACACCTAACTCTTATCCGTTCACTGGTTCTCATTGTTGTGTTCGTTTCAGCCATGAACACCGCCTGGTCTCATGAGTGCTTAGAGAACTGGCCTTCTTTTATTCTCCTTGAAGAGGCTCCACTTCACACTCACATAGGTGATTTCTAAACGTGTATTCCGAAAATACACTATTTGATCACATCCTGTGTCAAACTTAGAAGCCATTAAAAACCTTCCATCTTTAGGTTTACCCTTATAGTTGGACATTGTCTCATCATGAGAATGGACTTTGAATAATTTGACAATGTCGGACCATCATTCACAACTTTGTTTTCTCCTTGAACCTAGAGGTTGGGTCTGCCAATCCTGCTTAGGTAGAGTTACCGCCATGAAGATTTGTCCTAGGCCACGAGTCCATTCCCTTCGATGCTATCGTTAATTTCTAGGTAGGCCTAACGTTTGTTATCACTTGATCTAAGATGATCAATCCAAATAACTTTGCTAGAAATTAATCAATCCATAGTGTTACGTTTCCATTATCTTTGACGAGATTTATCACATAACACTCCTAGCCCTTGCAATAACACCTTTGTGCACAAGTGCGTTTTATTAACGCTAGTCTTTGCGGGCCAAACTATTCAACTTCACCGGTCTTAGAGTTTAACTTGGACGTTTTCCAAGATACTGCTCCTCGTTAACCATAAATGCCTATCCATTAATAGACTATGGCTTTTGGTTCATCCGGTGAGTTCCCTTTGGGTACAATACACCAAAGACTCGTCTCTTTTCAATTCACTACACATCTTGTGAGCTTGAATTGATTTTATTGCCTTGCAATAATCATAACACATGCCAACGGTATTGAAGTCTCTCCACTTCATTAACCTTAAAGTACTTGAGCTTCACAAGTATCTCTTCAAATGTAGTGACATTTATGACTTAGCTTAGAGTTTACGTTAAACTCCTAAGTATCACTTTCACTTTAGAATCACCCAAGCGACATTCCACATTACTTCTCCCCAATTTATCCCCCACATTTCAACTATTTCGCCATAGTTGTTGAAACCAACGTTTCCGGTTTGGGGAATGTTGTTCATATACTATCATGTATATGGTCAAAATCATCTCTTTGGGAAGAGTGGATCAACATCAATAAATATTCTAGCTCTCTGACATAACGTCAATATATGCTAGAGTTTACTCATAAGTTATACCCTTAGACTGGGCTAACTCCACAAGGTTTAAGGACTCTCACTTTCTCATTGGACACCTTCATACTTTCAAGTATGACTTCGCTTACCTTTCCACTTTTGTCTTATGGATAGGTTTGCGTCCCATTGTAGGGTCTTGAGATGGTAGCCGAAACAATGGCTAGCTTTTCTCCCCCACAATTCTACCATTTGCCAAACATCATGGAATAATCCCATTTATTTTCCATGGTTTTACTTATTGAACTTGCCAACCACTATATGTATCTAATTGTTTACCAATGGTATGATCTCACTCGATTAGCATACCACAAACCATTCAGATTTTTATTAGAAAAATCATCCAATTACTTACCAATGGTATTGATAAAGACAACTTGAGACGTCATAAGTAATTCAGATGCATTCCAGTAATGGAAATCCCATCTAATTACTTTCCAATGACATTTCATTTATGTAACAGAATATACCACAAGTAATTCAAACGAATTTCTAATTCAATTGTCTAATTACTTTCCAATGGTATAAACTTTATAAATATACCATAAGTAATCCAATCTTTATGTTCAATAAGATCATCTCAATTGAGCTCTCATGCCAAATTGTTTTCCAATGATATATATCTATATATACCATAAACAATTCTGTCAATGAGCTTCACGTTGATAATCATAGGTCATAAACAATTCTGACCTAATGCTTATCTTGATGACAACCATCATTTGGCAAGCTTATTAAATCCCTATAAGGATCAATCATAGCTTCATTTTCCTTGCCCTCATGGCATAGGAAACATCAAGTCCTAAACCACATACATTATCATGTCTTCACAACTATCACAGGAACTAGAATTCCTTATCGCTTGTAGCTTTCTCGTAATGCAATACTTAAACGTGCATTAACCAAATTTCATCTACAACACATTGGAGGTATACTCTTTCAAACTATGTCCAACATGCTATGAACATTACGTTTGCAACCATTGTGGCTTAGATAGACTTGACTCACAAGTCCCCACTTGCCACGCTCCATAGGTTTTACACACCTATGATTGTTCATATTCTCCCACTAGATAGTTTACTACTATCCAAACCACCGTTACTTAGAGTCCATGAAGGATTATCATAAGTACTTCCATCATCTCATGCATCACCTTGAATGAAGTCCAAATTAAATTGGCACATTTATCATTCATCCATGCCACAAAAATGAAATGGACCAATGCAATAAAAGCATTAAATTTTGTGGTTAATTTTGGAACCAAACAAACTCGTAAGGTTTTATCCAACTAATTTTCCATTTGGGAGATAAGAACATTTGTCCTTTATTCATCATGTAAATACACGACTTACATAGGTACACACATATTAATACCATATGTATATATACACACGCATACATATGTCTACTCCTCAAAGGAGATTACAATACATATACAAGAATCCTAAGGATTCTTGGGATCGAAGTCAGGATCAGAGAGGCATTCATCGGTCTCTATGTCGGAGTACTCCTCCTCGGTCTCCGATTCCTCAACTTCCTCTTCTTCCCCTATACTCTCCATCGAGTCCAAATGGGTGCCCAAATCATCCACATTAGGACCCATTGAGTACCAATCATAGATGGGTATTTCATCTAGAGTCCAATAATTGGTTGGATGCTCTCCACCAATGTCATTATATAGCAAATCCCCGCTATCGTCATAAAAATCGAACCACTCTTCATTGTCAAACTCCATTTCGGAAGTAGAAAGATCAATAATATCCGAATCTGATTCGATATTGATAACCTCTATGACGTCATCGTCATCATCCTCGTGAGTTGGACTCCATACTCCGGGGGTGCTACCAATTATTTTCCGATCTCGGAAATGAATGCCAAGTGATTCCCTTCTCCGGTTTCCAACCAACCAGTAGAGAGCAGAGCAGTTTCACCCATTCCAAACTAATGCCACTGCTTCTCAATTACTGATGATCCGTTTTCTTTTCTATCTTTCGGTTTCTTAAGCATGCCGAAATAGAGAGCCACTCACGCAGCCAAATTTGAAGCATTGAGACGAAGAGATTGCATGGTAAGATGCCAAACTCGACGTTTCAAAAAGCAGAGAAGCACAAACACATATGCCAATAGATGCATATCATTTCCACAGACCAATGCATTTCATTTCATGGGTTTAGTCAAGGAGACAACACTACTTTGCATGCATAATCGAATGCACTGATCTATCAACTTCCCAGTGACAAAACAATGAGAAGTGATATATAAGTATATATAACGTCTGGCACATATACATACAGCATCAAGTATATATGCCATGATCAATTCAATCTCAATTTAGATATATAATAATAGGTAAGCAACCAACCTAACCAACCCAGTTTATATCATCAATAAAGGAATCATAATCCTTCTAATGAGAGGCTAAATTAATTCCTTATACATGCATGGAAACTAATTTCGCACAGAATGAAGCACTGTTCATATAATGACCCGATTCAAAACAGAACCCTATTACATGCATAATCTCTACAATAAACGGAATATATTATGCCGAAGATGTATATATCCAAATTTCCTCAAAG